GTTGGGATGATAAATTTCAGTTTTATTGATATTTTCTATATTTTAAATAAGTTATTTCATCTCTGCTTTGGCATTTATATGATTAGTAGAAGTTGGTTTAGTGTTAAGGTGAAATTTCTAGTTTTTAATCGCAATTAGCGATGGTTATATGCAAATTTTAGCTTAAGAAGTGTAATTTCAGTTCTGCCCTGTTAACTTTGGCTGCAAATTTCTCCATATTTTACATTGAATCAACTTTTGGACAAAACATAAAAGTTATAGAGATTTGAGTTAAATTTCTACCCGCAAAATTTCAGATCAATTGGATCATTTTGGCTTATGATTTGGTCAGAGCACTCCTGACTACGCAAAAACTCTAATTTTCCTAACCTGTTTTTCATGTATTTCTGACCGTCCATTCTTGACCCTAAAAATACGAGAACTGGGTGTCGATATCTGCATAGGAAATGTAGGTCTATGTCTCAACTTCGAAATGCCATAAAATTTGCCTTAATCCGATAAGTGTAGCTTTAGTTGTGATGAAAACACCAAAAGATGGCGAAGCTGCAATCTTCATTGTTTCTCGTTGCCTTTCTCTTGTTTTCCGTTTCCTTGGTCCGACTTAACATGTGCTTCTCCAGTGTTCTAAACCTGATTTCTAACATTCTAAACAAGTACTCAAAACATGATTTTTAGTTGCACATATTGGCTTTGAACTTAACCATTTTTGATCATTTTCTTTTACAAATTATGCATGCACCTTGCCTATATGACTTACTATACTTTTCATACCTTTTTCCTTTGATATAGAAATATAAGTTATGCAGCTTGCACTCGTGTATGATTGGCTCTTTGTGGACAATATTTGACTGCTGATTTCGAGAGTGGCCAAGGTGCCGGCCCTGAACTGAATTTTGATAAAACGTGACTTGTTTAAGGTGAGTGTTTCTTGCATGTTTGTGTATTAAATGACTGTGTACTTGTTGTGAATATTCGATTGAGTGTTAAATGCCTTCCAATGCCTGTTAAATGGATTTTCAATGGTCGAGTGTGTACTTTATCGCACTTGGCCTAAGTGAAAGTAAATTTTCAAATGATTAACTGATTGAGCGTTACTTGTGCATGAATGTAAGATATGTGGGTTGTATGGTACCACATTGGCTGAATTAGATCCTTGCCCTTCGTTGCCAGTCGACTCGAGCCAAAAATGGACTCAATTGGGCGACTGGTGACCTTGGAATAATGTTTGGTATACTCGAGTATGACTACGAAGGTTGGTGGAGAACTGGCCAGTGAATTGGCTAATGTCAGGAAATGAAATCAATGAATGAATGTCAAGAACACTAAAGGAGTTTTCATTTGTAAATGTTTTCTAATATTGGAAGGATAAGGAAAACGGTTGGTGAATGAATGAACGAATGGCTCCACATGAGCATGTATCCTTTTAATGAGTGTATTCTTATTGCTTTTATATAGTGAATGTTTTCTCGATTAATTGTTACTAAATGACTAATATCATTGTTTCAATTGCTTGATTATGTATATGGGAACCTCACTGAGTTTTAACTCATCCCTCTATTCCGTTACATTTGTTTTCCTTATAGGGTTTGAGAGTAAGAACGAGTGATTAGAGGAAGACTAAACTTTTGACTATAACTTTTGTTGTGTAATAGTGATAGTATTAGTTGTTGGTTGGATCTTGAACTTTTTGTACTGAACCTTGAGGATTGTATATCTGTGTTAATGTTTGTATACATGTTAAGTTTGATTGGCACATCTTTACTTGCTCTTGAAAGTTGATTGAGTGAGTTAGTGAGTCCTGACCAGAGTTGGGTAGGCAGTTCGCCAAACCCTTAGTACGTCCTAGGGGGGAGGTTGGGTCGTCACTGTAATGGGGTGAATGATTTTAATATGGGACTAATCAAATTATTCAAATTTATTTTCTTTAATTATGGAAGGGAAAAGAGGTTAATGTCTAAATACAAACAATAAAGGATTTATTAAACACTCATTTGAAGTGGGAAAATTTTAAATTTGAATTGGCACAGGATTAGTTGTATATCACTATTCAAACTTTTTAATTGAATTTATGCCATAAAATAAATTAAAAATCCAGAAAAAAGTATTGAAGATTTGAAAGGCATCCAGGAGGCTTCTACTAAAACCTCCCCTGCAATACATATAGATCTAGATATAACTCGAAATTCTTAGTGCTAAGTGAAAAGGTCTTAGAAATTATTTCTAAGCATTTCTTCATTAGAGTTATACTTTAATACAAGAAATGAATACTAATCACATAATGGAATAAGCACAATTTATTCCAAAATTAATGTGAAATAAAAATGGTAAAAGGATATTAGTTACATGGTAAACATTCATTGAAAGGTGATGTCGTTCACTTAACTTTCTCATTATTAGGTGGTTATGATATTGTACGTGATAAAATTTCAAGTCTGCAAATCAAAACAAGAAATATACACGACAAATGTGTAATATAAATTTAAGAAAATATGTGAGTACAATCTCTTGGGTTTTCTCGAACTTGTAGAGAGTTTTCCTCGATTCTCCTCCTCGAATGCTAATCCAATGGTTTCGCAGCTTGTTTTTGGATCCACCACCGGTTCCTTCAAATCTTGATATAGAAGATTTGAAGAACTTTAGAAGATATTTGAAGACTCAAGTCTTGATATACGGGGGACTTGGAGAACTTGAAGATCCGGGCCTTTGTACCTTGGAGTTCCAATGCTTTGAGTGTATGAGATGCCTCTTGGTGTCTCTGTGTGTCCGTGTGTCCCTGATTTGGTTTGATAGGCCCCTATTTATAACTGTAGCAAGAGGTAGATGTTGAAGATCTATATACCACTTTACTTGTCTTGTAAGACGTGCAGTCATATTAGGACTGTACCAGTCAAATATTATCTCTCTATTTTATATTTATTAATAAAGAGATAAGTAATTTATCGATTGGCCAAACTCGTGGGGACACGTGACGTGGCGTCATTTGACTAAACAAGCTATTGCAGTATATAAGAAATATACTTGGATTAAACAACTCTAAATATTATCCATTTAATAAGAAATAAATACTTAGATATTTATCCAATAGGCATGTGATATGATATAATTTGGTTGGTGGAAATATCCCTGCAATTTGAATTGTTTTGGAACACCTCAACTTGACACGTGGCCAAATATTATTGGCCAGTTAATAACCAACTTTTCCAGGTGTACATGACATGTGGCTATATCCGATTGGATGAAAATAAACCATAAAAATGATTTATAGACCAATGGTAATTTTTAGAATTTAATTAAAATTCCATTGTCTACAAATGCTCCCTTGAAACTTGTTTGCGAAGAGTAAAACTTGAACGGACAAGTTTCGACATTCTTCGTTTTTTTTTCCATTGATTTGAATGCCGCGAGGCTGAAATTTAAGCGTCAAAATAGCCACGGGTCTTGATTAATTCACACAACATGCCCGCCAGATTCCAAGTAGTATTTGAATTCCAAATAGTATTCGATGTTGATGATGATTAGGAAAATCCCGAGGCCGAATTACTCCATATTGGAGTCTTACAACAAAAGTCCGTGAATGGACTTAAAGCTTTACAATTTCATAACTTTTGAATTGGTCATAAGATGACCATGCGGGGGCCACCAATCCATGCAACATTTAGTGCTATCAATCCCAAGGTCAAAACATATTATGTTAGAGCTTCAAGTCCACCATGCATCATCAAACAAGTTTTGGTGGCTAATTTCAATGTGACTCTCCCGTGGCCCACAAGACTCTTCCTATATCAACCATGATTGACCAATCCCAAGCCAATTAGAATTCTTGACCATAGTATGCTACCTGGCCGGCATAGTCCACAAGGCTCTTGGTAAATCCGTTTTGGCTCAGTAAATTGTGTTTCGGCAATTCCTTGTCGTTTCCAACAAGGAATCGACTTCTTTCCCAAAATTTTTTTACGGACGAGAACTTTCTTCTTGGCTCGGATTCTCATCTAATTTTTCCCTATAAATAGCCACGTCTAGGCCACAACTTTTGAACGATCTTTTTTTTTCTTCAGCTATATCATCACGCGGCCACTGCTGCAAGGGACAACCATCATCCGCCGGTTATACTCCAACAACAAGTACTTTCTTTCGTTTGTCAGGTACTTTAGTTTTTTTTTTGTTTGCCTCACCCGCAACATTTAGCTGTTACAAGAGGTCTCGATCAAGGCTCTTACGTGTCTCATCGTTAGATGCTTTGGACATGATCAGCACTTGAAATTTATTTCTTCACTCAACATGTGCCTTTGACTTGTATCCCCAACATATTACAAGGCAACTTGGCCCTTTGATTTATCTACTAAAATAATGCCAAGCATGATATTTGAGCTATTACTCATGGCTGAAAATTTAATCTCAATTTTCGTACCTTTTTTTTTGTTTTGTTTTTTGTTTTTTTTTTTGCTCATCTATTAAGATAACACCAAATACGATACTTGAGCCCTTTCTCTCTCTCTCTTTTTTTTCGCTCGTCTATTAGGATAATTTGAGCAAACCCTTTTCCCTTCTTTTGCTAGAACTCCGACCTTAATTATTATTTTTTCCTCCAGTCCATGTTAATATTTCAACTTTACTAACTTGTTCTCCTGTAGATAGCCCACCTCGTGCCCGAAAAGGAGCTTGAAACAATTTCGGGGATTTGAAGAAAGTCACCGATTAGGTAATTTAATTACCAAAATTTTGTAAGAAATTCCCTTCATCGTCTAATACTTTCTTTTTCAAAATTCCAACAAATATGCAAATTAAGGACTACGCCGTGCCACTGCCGCATATTTCACTGACGGATGAACGAGGAGGAACTCAATCAAAGAGTTTTTTTTTTTTTTTGTTTTTTTGTTTTTTTTGTTTTTTTTGTTTTTTTTGTTTTTAACAGACGGTCACTACGACCTTTTATTAAAAACCAATCAAAGTCCAAAGGAACAAAAACATCAAAGCCAAAGTGAAAAACCAACTAGCAAAGCCTATCTACGAAAGGAAAACCGGAAATTAGGAACCTGCTCCCTATCTAGCACAAAGAGGGACCGAGACAGACGTGGAAGAGAAATGAATGAAGGAAAGTCCAAATGCCCGCTACAAGTAACTCCTACCGCTGCCAAAGAGTCAGCTACCGTATTTGCCTCCCGGAAACAATGGGAGAGGCGAAAGTCCAACGGCAAAATGTCACGGATCGCTCTGATAAGCGGCCGAACCGCCCATGGAATCGTAAAACTCCCTGCCACCACCCGTACCAAAACCAACGAGTCAGACTCAACCTGTACCATGGAGAAACCCAGCTGTTGACATAATTGAAGCCCTTGCAGCATTGCATAAGCCTCCGCCTGCAAAGAATCCACCAAAGGTAACTTGGCCGCAAACGCTCCAACGAACGACCCATCAGCCCTTCGAAGAATCCCACCAATTCCACTAGCACCAACTGTGGGCAAGGAGGACCCGTCAGTATTAAGCTTGACAAAATCACTTGGAGGGAATCCCCAAGTAACCAACGTAGACTTTAAAGGACGCTGGATCCCCGAAATAACGGACACAAGATCCCCAAGTTCGGGCGGAAGTGAACGCCCAGGAAACTTGATAGAACAAATAAGCGAGAGCTCTTGGAATATAGAAGAACACAACGTACGGACAGACCACTTAATGCCATCGAAACGCCATTTGTTCTTAGCCTTCCACAAAAACCAAAGAATGAGAATAGACAAAATCCTGTACAGCCACCGAACCGACAGCTTACTCACAGGTTGAGACCACCATGCCATACATCTAGGCCGATACCCACAAGAAGCCGGCGAAATCCCCAACCGAGACTCAAAGAATGACCAGATGGCCTGGGCCACCGAGCAGGAAGAAAACAATTGATCAGCCGTCTCCCGAGCAGCCAAGCACAACGGGCACTGGGAGGGGCCCGCAAACCGGCACCGTACACATAACACATCATCCAAAGGCAACCTACCAGAGAACAAACGTCAAGCAAAACAAGAAACCTTAAGTGGAATTGAGGAATCCCACAGCGAACGGAATACCACCGACTTCACCCCAGCCCGACGGACCAGGTGATAAGCCGAAGCCATGGAGAAACAACCCGAGGATGCCAACTGCCAACAGGGCTGATCTGGTAAATCCCCAAAACACATAAAAGTCTCCCCCATCACCTCCAAAACCTCCGGTGGAAGGAAAGACGAGAGACGAGCCCAGTCCCAAGTCCCCTGAAGCCAAAAATCCCTAACCTTATGGTCAGAAGAAAGGGCTGGAAACCGCCAGGCAAGGGGGCCCAATCCGCTCCAATTATCCCACCAGAAATAACAATCTCCGAGAGAAACATCCCAACGGATCTGTAATTCCATCTGCTCACGTACTTGGAACATCCGCCTACAGATTGCCGAACTCGACGGACCCACTACCACCTGATTAGGATGACCTCCCCGGAGATACAAACCTGACAAAAACCTCGCCCACAAAGAGTCCTGCTGCCGAAAACGCCACCACAATTTACAGGAGAAAGCGTTAGAGATAGACTGCAACGATCTAACCCCTAGGCCCCCCTCCTCCACCGGAAAACACACCTTGGCCCAACCACACCAATGAAAATGATTAACCCCCCAAAGAAACCGCGCAAACATCCTCTCAATCTCCCAAACTGCCCCACGAGTAGGCTCCAAAACTGCCAGCAAGTGAATTGGGACAGTCGTAAGCACATGCCGAATAAGAATCAACCTCGCCCCCATGGAAAGCCACCGATTCTGCCAGGCCAGCAAACGAGCCTGAATTTTATCAATGATTCCAGCAAACAAGGACTTAGATCGGCGACCCTCATACAATGGGCACCCCAAGTACGTGATAGGCAAAGACTTTCGAGCAAAACCCGTGTCCTCCGCAACCCTCCGACTGCGAAGACCAGAAACCTTCTTTGAGAACAAACAACAACTCTTTTGGGCATTAACTAGCTGACCAGACACTCGCTGATAACCAGATAAAACCCCCATGACTTTCCTCACGGAAGCCCGCCCCCCATTGCAAAAGACTATAACGTCGTCCGCATACCCCAAATGCACAGGGGGAAACCCTCCCGAAGGAACCGAGTAAGGGATAAAACCAGAAGACAAAGGAAGAGATTCCAGCCCACGGGATAGGAACTCCGCCATAATGATAAAAAGCGCCGGAGATAGCGGGTCACCCTGCCGCAAACCCCTAGTGGACCTGAAAAACCCAACCGGACCACCATTGATCAATACTGAAAAATGACAAGAGGAAACCAGCCGCCAAACCATGTCCAACCAAACCTCCCCAAACCCGAATTTCCGCATTACTGATAAAAGAAACATCCACGAAACCCGATCATAGGCCTTGGCCATGTCCAGTTTCAAAACCACATTAGAACCTCGGACCTTTTTCCCAATCCTAGATATCATTTCCTGAGCAAGCAGAATATTATCAGCAATGGCCCGCCCCTTAACAAAACCACTCTGCTGAGGGGAAATGAGTCGGGGGAGAACTTTGTCTAGCCGAACTGCAAGAATCTTGGAAATAATCTTGTTGGAGAAATTACAAAGACTAATCGGCCTAAAGTCAGCAAAGGACTTGGGGGCCGACTGCTTAGGAATCAATGCCAACCAAGTGGCCGAAATCCCACACGGGAGTTCAGCACCAACAAAAAAATCCGCGACTGCAGCAAAGAGGTCCCCACCTATAATATCCCAACAATCCTGATAGAAAGACCCAAGGAACCCATCCGGCCCAGAACAACTGTCCCTATCCAAAGAAAAGACCGCCCCTCGAACCTCCTCAACTGAAGGAAGCCGTTCCAAATCCCGATTATCATCCTCCATTAAAAGAGTTGGAATTCGAGATAATTCATCTCCCGTCACCTGATCCAGTGGCCCCTGGGTAAACAAGTCTGAGAAAAACGTCTCCGCCATGGCATGAATAGAACCTACATCTTCAGTCCACACACCAGAAGAATTCTGAAGCCTATGAATCCGAACCTTCACCCTGCGTTGACGCACATAAGAATGGAAAAACTTAGAATTGGCATCACCCTCCTTCAGCCAGCGTAACCTGGATTTCTGTCTCCAGAATATGGCTTGACGCAGCAAGGCTTCCTTCAAGACCGAAGAAGCCTGAACAAGCCGCAAGTCCACCTCCGGGGAAGGTCGGGCCACCGCCACAGCCTCCAAATGAGCAACCTCCTCCTCAGCCTGCTGTACGGCATCAAAGACATTTCCAAAAACATTTTTGTTCCAACCTGTCAAAGCCGCCTTTACTGCCTTAAGCTTATGCAAGAAACGGCGCATCGGTCGGCCAGAGCTACCAGAACACCAAGCCTCCTGAACTACACCCTGAAAACTATCATGCCGAAGCCAAACGTCTTGGAATCGGAAACTCCTCGGAGAGGACAAGCCTGAAAGCAAGTAAGAAACCAGCAACGGGGAATGGTCAGAAGCAGTGCGAGCCAGGTGAAGAACCGACGGCACCACACCACTTCCCAACCAGCCACGATCAACCAGGACACGATCCAGCCTCTTCCAGACCCGCGCCCTACCCTGACGATTATTACACCACGTGAACTGGTTCCCAGAAAAACCCACATCTGTTAAGTCCAAATCCTGTATGAAATCATGAAAGTCCTCCGACCCAACCCTGCAAAAATTCCGACCTCCTCTCTTCTCCTCCGCATACAAGATAACATTAAAATCCCCATGAAAGATAAGAGGCAGCCCCAACACCTGCAGTGTCCGTAAGTCCGCCCAAAGCTCGCGGCGGTCCCTGACAGAGCAGGCCGCATGCACAAAGACCCCAACCACCTCAGTTCGCAACTGAGAATGCCTCACGCGAAGGGCCAAATACTGAGAGGATTGACCCACAATAGAGCAAGAGAATTCAGTAGAATAAAAAACAACAAGACGGCCATCGTCAGAAGGGCAGTAAGCATCAAAGCCCAACCTCTGGCGGATCAAATCAAAACGAGAGCCATCCATTTTGGGTTCACAGACCCCTAACAATGAGAATTTATGCAAAAGACGCAGCTTACGTAAACGAGCTAAAGTAATGGAGTTATCTAAACCCCGAACATTCCAAAACATTGTCTTAAGCATCACTTAAAGGGGAAGAAAAAGAGTACGGGGGAAAACCTGGCGGGGCCTCAACCACCCCAGGCTGTCTCTGCTTCATGTCACCACGCCGACGTTTAAGCGCCTCCATGGCCGCCAAGGGAGGAACAGATTTGCGTGGAGAAAGGTTCAGTTCTGAGATTACAACCTTCTCCTGCTGCATGTGCACCGACAAAGCAGACTCATCATCAACCACCTCCGCAGCCACCTGGTCAGCAAGGTCCACAATGATCGCCTCCGCAGCCGAAACCATAGCGTCCTCCACTAGGTGCTCCACCACTGCACCAGGCTCCTGCTGCCCTGCTATTGCAAGAGACAACAGGGGGACCGCATCCATCTCCGGCCCATCCTGGACTTCATCCTCCGACGCCTCCTCAACCACCACAACATCCAGATCCAACGACGTCCGTTTGTGAATAGCCTGCATCCCCGGAGGGACCGAAACACCCTGCCCATCCCCTTCATCCAGGACAGCTGCCTCCACTGGCTCCTTAGCCTGGGCACACGACCCAGGCCCAGCCGTCGCTTCAGGCCCAAGTTCCCCCCGACACACAGGGCTTCTCTCCCACATACGCAGCCGCGACCAGTTCCTCCGACGCCGCAACCTTCTCACTCGCCACAGCCGCAACAGGCAGCCGTCCCTTGCGACGTCCCGGAGGCCGCACCTCCCCAGGGGGCCGAGCCTGGGCCTTCAACTCCGGGTGAAGCAGTACGCAATCCTCCTTGCAATGCCCCTGTCAAAAGCATCCAGAGCAGTAGGCCGGTAGATGCTCTATGTCAAGATTCTGCCAGAACCCCTCCTGTCCGCCATTCCCAATCCAAACCCGAGACACTAAAGGCTTCAGGAGATCCACCTCTACGCAAATCCGAGCCACACTCGGGCGGGACATGGCTGCGGTAGCAGCATCAACATAGAGAGGAACGCCCAAGAGAGCAACAATCTGAAATAAACACTCTCGATTGAAAAGATGAATGGGAAGTTTGGGCAAAGAAACCCACACCGGTACCACAGACGGCTCCCGATCCACATGAAACGCTGGTGTCCACTTGAGCAGCTTCATAGGCCGCCCCTGAACATACCAGACCCCCCGAAGCCATAAACGGTGAAAATCCCTCTCATCGGCTACCCTAATGAGGATGTGGCGGGAATCAAGCAGCCCAACAGAAACAGGCTGTTTGAGATCAAGCGTTGCAAAAAATTTACGAGCCAACTCCATTGAAGGACGACCCCGAGGAAATTTCCCAACCAGCGCATATCGAAATGGATCAGACAACTTGTGAATCACATCCTGTGAAAAAATCAAAGCCGGCTCTCCACGATGTGTGGAAGCCGTCGCCTGAACCGAGAAAGCAGGCGCCGTCGGACTCTTGAACAGATCCGAGAAGGACTGCTGAGACTTCACAGGTGAAGGCTGCCCCCCAGCACCCAGATGGGGGGCCTCCGATGAAGCCATGAAAAACCCTAGAGAGCCAAAATAGTTCGTGCGTAGCTAGAGAGAAACCCTAGAAGCCGATGTTCCTCAAAGAGCTTGTCACTACATGTTTACAAACCAACAATTGGCCCGCTCGCTGAATCCTTCATACCCCTCGAAGGATGTTTTCATCTCGAAAATTGGACTAGCAAGTGGACTAAGGAAATTGTGGCACCATCGACTTTCTCCACTACGTCGAGGGAAGAGGGAGTGGTCGTATTAAACTCGTCACTCCACAATGGAGACCCAGAAATAGCCAAATTCACGCTTCCGTTCGTGGGATTCAATATTGACAAAACTACATGGAAGATCCCTTCATCCTTCTTTGGTGAGGCGTGCTTCACCTCCCATTATTGGGAGTGGGTCGACATTCTTGGAAGGTATAAAGAGGTACTCACACGCGCTGGCATATTTGAAGCTGTCTACGCATTAAGATACTCCTACGACTGCTGTGAAAATATCTTGCGAGTCTTCTTCAAATATTGATGTTCCTCGACAAATACACTTCACACGCCCGTTGGGGAGTTGTCCATCACATTTTGGGACCTTTATTGACTTGGTGGCCTTTCGATCGATGGCTTGTTCTTTGATGAAGTTGTTCCTTCGGCGTAGGAGCTTCTCACTCGTGACAAAGAAGGGAAGCCACTTCTCCTTGAGAGCTGCAGGCACCTCTTTTCCCCTTACTACCACCTTTGGACGAATGACCAAGGTGTATGGATGAAAGACTGGATCCGTTTCTAGTTCAAAGGAGATGCTAGGTATAGGGCACCTCCAAGCAGAGCGAATAGAAGAAAGACCACAACTAAACCGAAAATGACTTACAACCCTTCTGGAAGCGTAGAGCCTTACGACATTGCTGATACGAAGGACTTCAACGTCCCTTTCGACATATTAGGTATCCCAGGGTCTTTAAGAAAAGAAACTTATATTGCGGCATTCATAGCGTGTTGGATTTGCAAGTTCCTTTTACCAAGCAAAAAGGTCGATCGTATTCGCCCAAGTGTCTTCAAGGTTGCATGCTTAATGGCCACAGGAAAAAGATTTTGCCTTGTAATTTTCGTTGTTGCGAGCATATATCATGGGTTGAGGGAGATCGTCCACGCCGCTAACCTTGGAGAATGCGGGGTAACTTTTCCAATCCATTACGTCTATGCTTGGATTGACCAATACTTTGACGTATATCACGAGAATAATCAAGTGAGTAGCCACTATGCGCGCATGACGAGATTTAGCGGTGAGAAGATGGCAATATTTTACAGTAAATTTGAAGTTGAGGAAATCTTCAAAGAAGTGAACCCTCTGATGTTTCCCAAGCTGTGCTGGACTGAGAATGAAGAAAAAGTGTTGATCGACGATGGATCCTTATCATCACGACTCACGAGTTATTTCATTAGTTAACGCTCTTGTCATTTAACTCTACGCAAGGACAATACTTTCATTATTGAAAAGTATAATCCTTGCAGGTTTAGCAGACAATTCGGCTTCTGCCAGGACATTCTCAACAACTTGAAAGAGATCACTCATACTTATACTTTGGGTGAGGCTATTCAACTATGGGATTCCTCAGTTCGCATGCAGACGCGATCTCAGATGACTATACCCATGCACAGGAAGCACCCATTGATCACAAAAGACTACGACGTCTGATGGTCGGCTCGGTCAAACAGTGTCTCTTCAACTTCCTTTAAGTTCACCGTTAAGATCCCTCAGCAATCATCAAAAAAAGGTAAGGTTACCTCCGCCAATGAGTCAATGCATCCTAATGGAGGTATAGAGATTGTAACGGGTCTTATCTCATCCACCTTGCGGAAGAACAAAATCATTAGCAATCTCTCGAAAAACATTGTCGTAAGAAATAAGTCTTCTAAGGACTCTCGACAGGCCATCAACGAGGCGCAACCAGTGATTCCAGCAAAGAAAACGCCGCCCAAAGTTTCAAAATCCTTATCGGTGACTCGCACAGAAGAAGATGTCGAAATTGAAACAGTGGATGATTGTGATTCTATCGAGGCTATAGAAAAGGAAGGGATTCAAGTTCAGGGCATCGGATTTACCCAAGGAGGAGCCCATTCGTTGGCGAGCGGTAGTAGTAGTCAAGACCGTCACTGGAACAGATAAAAGAAGAGGACATCTTCTGATTTGGAGGAGGTTTCCTTTACACCACCGTTGGTTGGAGTGTCGCCACTTAGGGTAATCACCTCTCCATTTTTTCCCTTTTTTTGTAAATTTTTTTTTTAAAAATTTTTCCTTCATTTTTTTTTCAGCCCCCGTTCCTTGAATTTCGTCAGAAAGATGTTGGTAACAACTCACCACCCAAACTCAAAACTGAGGATATAATTTTAAACAACAAAAGTGACGAAATAGCTATCAGTACCCCAAAACAATTTGCCCCTAGCGGAGATACCTCGTCAATGCATAAGAAGGAGGTAACTAGTTCACATGAAATCCGAAAAAGACCGAAGGTAGTACTGGTTTCAGAATTTCATGGCCAAAAGTTGATCCAGGCACAACGAAGAAAGTACTTACAGAGTTTGTGGATAGATTTTCGCGGGCAGATTCATGACACTCCAATTGAGCAGATCTCTTCTTTAAAAGAGTATGCAGAGAAAATCATTGCAAAAATCACAAGAACGAATCCCACCACTGGTCTCCCCTTAAAAGATCACTTGATAGAATTGTTTGGCAAGGCGAAGGCATATGATGCTCTAGCATCTTCATCGTGGGAAAGGATGAACAAAGAAACACATGCAGAACTCCTTTCCAAAGCGACCGTCCAACTCGGAAGAGTTAAGGCAAAGGAAGAAGAACTAACTTGTCATTTGCAAAGTCTTGAAGAAAAGTTGCAGTCCATTAAAGACAGGGAGAAAGTTCTGCAACAGGAATTTATCAATTTGGAAAAATAAAGCCTGGAAATCAGCTCAACTATCGATCAAAAGCATGAAACTTTCAAAGAGATCCAGACCGAAATAACCCAAGCACATGATGAGCTATCTTCTATTAAAAATACTAGCATCTTAACTGATGACGCTGTGAAGGAACTTGAAGACATGAAGTCTGCACTTGAATCATATAAAGTAGTTGTAGTGGAATATAAATTTGATATTTAGGCTTTCCACCTTGTTCTTCTTTTCCCTGAATTCTTTTATCATTTTTTTTCATGTAATGATTTTTTTTTGAATAATAAAATACTTTCCATTTCTTATCTCTTGTTTTTTTTAAGAGAAAAGAATTTTTAAATTTAGTATTTTATCTCAAAGAAAAAGAGAAGTTCTTCCTCTTTTCTTTTCTTTTTTTTTTTTGCAAGGAAAGAATGTTTGGTTTAGAAGGTGTAACTGAACTTAGAAGTTACCCTCTAAGCTGCCTACGTATCCCCGAAGGGAATCAAGTCACACGTAATTCCTGCCGTTCACATTTTAATCTCATGCGGGTCAAGAATATCTATTTATTTACTACCTTAGAATTTGTGGAGTGTTTCAGCAGTTTAACCACATACTACACTATTGGTAATTGCCATCCACAGTTTTAGCTCATGCAGGTCAGGAGCATCTATTTGTTTACCACCTCAGACTTGGTGGAGTGTTTCAGCAGTTTAACTATATACCACACTATTGATGGTTGCCATCCACAGTTTTAGCTCATGCGGGCCAGGAGCATCTATTTGTTTACCACCTAGATTTGGTGAAGTGTTTCAACAGTTTAACCACATATTATACTATTGGTGGTTGCCATCCACAGTTTTACCTCATGCGAACCAGGAGCATCGCGTGGTTCTGATTACGCATAGTACCTTTTTAGGTACTTGCCATTGATGGGGCTGACCTTTAATCTATCTTCAGCAACCAACTTGTATGAACCATTTGTATACACTTCTCGAACAACATATAGACCATCTCACTTAGGAGTAAACTTTCTTTGGTCGCCATGAGTGAGAATGATCGGTCTCCGAATGGCGAGTATTAACTCTCCAATCTGGAAAGAGCGTGGTTGGACATGCTTATTGAATGCTTTTGAAAGGCGGGCTTAATAGCACTCAATTCGTTGTTGGGTTTCCAATCTCTTCTCGTCGAGTGCTTCTAACTCTTCAAGGCACAGACGAACATTATCTTCTTCACTGAACCCTTCTTGAATCGCAATTCTTAGCAAAGGTATTTGACACTCAAGTGGAAGAACAGTTTTAACGCCGTAAACAAGCGCGTATGGGGTCGCTTACGTGGGAGTTCGAAAAATAGTTCGGTATGGCTAAAGTGCTTCTCCAATTCGAAAATGCCAATCCCTTTTCTATTTATCCACGATTTTCTTCAACAGATTATATAAGGTTTTGTTGAATGCTTCAGCGAGTCCATTTGCGGCAGCGTAGTACATGGACGAATTGTATTGTTTGAAATGAAACTTTTCGCAAAACTTGTTCATTGCTACATTGCAAAAAGGTTTATCATTATCGGTGATAATATAACGCGAGACTCCATACCGATAAATGATGTGCGAGCGAATGAAATCTACTACATTCTCCTTTTTGACCTCTCTTAGAGGAACCGTTTCGGCCCACTTCGAGAAATAGTCCGTTGCTGCCAAAATGAAAATGTGTCCTCCAGAAGATTTTGGGAGCGGTCCAACTATATCCAAACCCCAAGTATCGAAGGCCAAAAAACCACAGTTGGATGCAATGGTTCAGGAGGTTAACAGATGAAATTGCCATGGAATTGACAAGCTTGACATCTTCTAGCAAAATCAATACAGTCTTTTACCATCGTTGGCCAGTAGTATCCCATTCTCTTAATGCGAAAGTGTAATTTTGGGCCAGATTGGTGAGCACCACATATCCCAGAATGAGCCTCCTCCATTACTTGCATGGCCTCATCTTCTCCAAGACATCGTAGAAACACCCCATCGAATGATTTTCGGTAAAGCGTCCCTTTGTAGTAAATGAAACATGGTGCTCAATGACGTATATCAACCATTTTCTTAGGATCTTCTGGTAACTT